CCCCAAAACCCCAAAACCCCAAAACCCCAAAACCCCAAAACCCCTACAAGAAGTTAGAGATTGAGATCAAAGTTAATTTGAATGCTAAAACAGTAATTTTTTTGAAATATTAGAGAAATTTTATTTAGGCAATTATGTATGTTGCTTCGATACAAAATATAGATGGTCATGGGTGTATTGTATACCTCTGATTAGCTTTACTTCAGGTTTCAACTTTAGAAATACCTCTTTGAAAAATTAAAACAATTGTTATTTTGAGTCTGAAATAGCACGTTTTTCAATAAAGCTTATATTAATTATAGAGGATGGGACACAAAATCAGGACATCCTATATGATAATTTTTGAGAAATATGAATGCAATTAAAATTAAGATATTCTTAGGATGTTAATCACATATAATTTCTACTCTAAACACATTCAAATTTTTTGTCAAAACATATAACAAACTTCTTCCTAAAAATCACCTAAAAATGCGAAAATCTTCATAATTTCTGATTTACAAAACTTATTCTCCCTCTCATCAACTATCACTACAAAATACAGGACTAAAAATAAACAGAGGGTTTCCATACCTCTAAAACCCTGCCAATGCTAACTCATGCATCGAAATCTGTTAGGCTAACTATTCTCCCAGCGATCTTCTATTCCCTGAGCCATCTACAAATACCCAGCAATCATAACATAACCCAAACTTATCTCACTTTAAAACCTAGAAACACTCAGACCCTCCCTTAAATTTAGAACGCTTCAAAACTCAACTACAACAGAAATAACATTCCAGCTCATAAGAAAGATACAAGGAACACATCACAGCTTCTAACCCTTCCTCTATCCCCCCCATTTCCTACCTTCTTGGCCCCATTTACACGTTATGCACTACTAAAAGATAACTGGCCAAATATAACCTATCAGCTGGTATCTTTCAACCAAAATCTAGCTGTACGTGGAAGAGTACTTTTTAGAGTAATTTTAGCACAGCCTCGACTGTTTTTGGATTAAAGCCTGGATTTAGGCTGAGAGTGTGAGGGATTTTGAATTAGAGAGGGTGAGGTTTAGAGAATGATCTGGGAGAGAAGGGAGGGGATTTTAGTATTCAGGTTTTAGTGGTATCAGATAAACACTCTCTATGAAGTTTTATGAGATGCTTCCATTTTAGAAAGGCTAAAAGCATGACGTTTGTATTGATTTTTAGCAGGAGGAAATCTGCTACCGATTATAAGTAATCGCATTGCGATTTTTTATAACTGTAATTTATTACCTAAATAAGCCAAAGAGCTACATCATAACCGAAGATTTTCTATTAATTGAGAGAAGACATTCCAATTCTTGATTAAGTTGGTGACCTCCTATTATATTCATTTGTCGAAATATTCTAAACTTATCATAGTCTGATAATTGAGTCTATTTACATGAAAATTTACTACTCATTTCAGTGTCAAGAGGATGATAAATTGAAAAGCTAATGCTAATTATTTATCAGTACGTCTTTGGTCAAGTAAAATGCCATCTTTTATATGTCTCTTGAAAAAATTGAGGCTAATAAAAATATGTCTCCTTTTTCGGTTAATCGGACTTTACCATCACTAATTTTGGACGAATTATTGCTCTACCCATTTATTTTTATAGAACATAAGGAGATATTATAAAAATTATCTTCTAAATCACGGATCTAGTATTTTAAAATAAGCTCTAAACCCTTACATAATTTATCTAATAATTTCTTTTTGAGACTTGTTACAATGGGATGTGAAATTATGTCTGGAGACATGATTTTACTCTCAAAATTAGCACAAATTTCTACGAAGTTCTATAAATAAGCTTTGTAAGGCTAATTTATAACCAAGGTAAGAGGTTTAACTTAAAATTTATTCTAAAAATCTACTGTAATGAATCTCTGCTCCTGAATATATTTAACTAGGATTAGTAGAGCTGCAATAATATTCACTGTGCAATTTTGTGCAACAAGGTAGGAAGAAGATTACTCATCTAATTCTCTTTAATAACCCCCAAAACAACGCTCTCACATCCCTAAAACCCCACTTCCCCTCTAAACCCCCTACTCCACCCTCTTCACCACTAACCCCACTAAAACCCCACTATTTCCACTCATCAGCCTCTTCCTAGCGACAATCCTGGCTTTAATAAGACTTAGTAATTAATTAGGGCATGATTTTAGTGTACTCTTGACTTTTACTGATAACCATGTGGCTTAGGGCTGAGGGATTTTCTTCTTGGAAAGCATGCTGAAGAAAGGAGTCGCCTTTGTGCTGTGGAATCTGTTAGGTCTTGATGAGGGTGCTATATGGGAAATATGAGATTTTTGGATGATTTTTGGGAGGGAGGGTAGGAGAAGTTTTAATAAAACATACCTTTAGGGTGATGTGATCCTATTTCTGGACTTTCTTGGCTACCCTCTGACATGAATTCATCAGAGTTAGAGACTTTATCCTCCATTTCTTGGTCTTCTTCGATGCAGAAAATAGGAGAATAAGACTCAATTTGAAGTGGCTTAGTAATCTGGGAAGTGCTCTTTCCATCATCTCCAAGCAAATCATTGCTTTGAAATAATCATGGGATTTGGTTGGTAGATTTGTACTTTTTCCATAAGTTCTCATCCTTCAAGAAATCAAATCAGTTTTCAAATCCTGCAATATTGGAGTTCTCTGGTATCTTGGCAAGGTCAACTTTCCTTGGTCTATAAATATATCAATAATCCATCTTAAGTGCGATGCTTACTTCATTGCAGGAGCTGTAGGAAGATCAAAAGAAGATTGCTTCATATTTATATATTATTTATTTATAACAAGTCTTTGCTCTATTTTATACCCGCTAAATGGGGTTTTGGGGTTTTGGGGTTTTGGGGTTTTGGGG